GCAGCCTTTTCATATAGTCATTTCCATTTCTTTGTAGTGTCTGAGTCATCATGCAGAAAAGCCAACAGGTTCTTGCCAAGAGAAAATTTACTTAAAATCCTGCTATTACATTTTCCCTATGAATCAGAGTTAAGATGGAGCAGCTGACAGCACTTGTGATGGTACCAATGCCAGCTCTTTACCACTGCAGGGAGTTGGCCAGTGGGACAGCAGTGTCTCCTTTCTTAATGTTCTGTAGTGAGCTCCTTGGCTATCTAACTGAAGACATAATCCATCAGAACAGATCTGCAATTATTATAAAGATATTATCATTAACATTTGCTATAGACCCTGCTACAGTTCATTTTCAGCACATATTATGCTTTCAATTTGAAAGAAATTAACCAATTTGGCTGAGATTATGCCATTGCTCAACTCACTAGTGGGTAGAACATATTGTTATGTGCCTTACTGAAGGTATGCTGGTGATTCCACTTTATTTATGCTTATGTAATATTAGGCTTTAAAGCAAACAGCCCAACTGTTTAACATCCCCTTTTCAGAGCATTTTTTAAGTAGGCACTGAGAGGGTGGAGAGCGATTCTGGTGGTTAAAGCAGACTGCGTTTGCACAGGGAGGTGAAAAACAAACATGGCTGGCCTCATTTTTTGGGGTGGGGTCATCTGGTGTCAGCTGAAGACAAGCCTTTGTGTGTTTGTGTGTGAGTGTTTTCACAACTCATGTAAACTTGTAAAAAACATAGGAATGAATGAAATTTAGTGGTTTGCTTATAGTCTCAGTGTTCACACAGGGATGTTGCTGTATCTACACACAGATACACCTATAACCTTTTGTACAGTGCAGGAACACAGATCCCAAAGAAGAAATGAAACCACTGAAAATGTATCCTTAAAGATCAGACTGACTTGGATTGCACACACACACACACACACACACACACACTTTTTTAGAATGAAAGACCACATGGCAGCAACTTCTTTTAATTTCTTATAAAATCTTTTCTCTAAATACAAAACTCAAAATAATTTAAGTATTTGCAATCCAGTTCATTTTTGGACATTTGATTGCTGTCATCATCAATCTGAAGAACTTTAAAATGTTTCTATAACATATGTTGTTGACTGTTACATACAGTAATCTTGGTGTTAACTTGTAGCTTGTTTCCATTATATTAAGACTCACACATACAGACTCTCGTCTTCTTTCAGCGTCTCTGTGAAGCTCATAGAACAGCTGAACTTTGTTTCTGTGTAATATCTGCTGCCAGACTCCCAGAACTCATGTCATTGGTATTCCCAGTTTGTTGTGGCTGCCCTGCCTCGGCTCCCTCTTGTCAACATGTTGCATGCTGTCTTCACCCCAATTTAACATATGCCTCTGCCTTTCATCGCTTCACTTTTTTTCCTTCTTGCTTGGCCTTTCTTTCTTCTTTGTTTTTCTTTTCACTCTCCATTCTGTTTCATTTAGCAAAAATGACAGAAGTGCATCTTTATCGGCTGCTGACCTTTTTTAAAATGGAAAATGTAAACTGATTCATTTTTCCCCGTCTGTTTTTCTGCAAGCCAACATCAGAGAACCAGACTCCAACTAGGCTATTTGTGCTAGTGCAACACTTAAGTAATCGCCCAAATTATTTCAGTCTGCATCATAATGAGCCTTCTAAATGGTGTACAAGAGTTCAAATTTCCCAGCAGTATGACTCAGGGAAATCAACAGATATGAGCAACATGCATCACAGACACACATAGAAGCTCTCATTTTACATTTGAATGTTTGTTTTCTCTATCAAAAAAGACAAAAATTTGTGTTGTTTGCATTAAATGAGGTAGAAACATTACTAGACATTACATGAGGCGGTCAGTGAAATCATATGTGCTGATTAGTCGTCATAAGTTGAGAAGGCTCAGTAAAGCTTGACTGAATCCGAAATTTGATTATACAATGCTGGTAAGTCATAAAATAACATGCAATCTGTAATGTTTGGTGGGTGTTCAGCTTAGCTGAGATTTTCTACAGTTTTATCAGGTCAGCAGATGTTATTTTTCCAAGATCTGGTTAGTTTTAGTCCAAGTTCAACAGTTCTTTTTTGTAGAAACTGCACCACACTGTTTTACTTGCACTGCTGCTTCAATGCAAGCCAAGATAGTTGTGAAGACTTGTATCCAAGCAACTATGTTACGGCCCCTACACACACCCCTGCTTCCTTTGTCCTAGTGTTTGTGTGTGTCTATTTGCATATTCTACATGTTTCTGAACTCACTTGCACACAGATAAATTGAATCATTTTGCACTTTGGCCTTTACAACATGTACGAACTAATCTACAGTACAAAGATAATTATTTAACTTTTTATCTTTAACCAGGAATTTCCCGTTTATGTCTCTGTAGTACAGCTGGAAGTAGTTAGGACTACACACACATCTTGTTTGGTTTAAGCAGTGCAGTTATATGGAGGGAAAAAGCTCTGTGCCAGCCAAGTTAAATTGGGCAGTCTATAATGCCCCCAACTGGTCATGACTGGAAATGCAATTTGCTGTTACTCCACTAGCTATTTCTCAACTCTTGTCTGTAGACAATAAACACATCCTCTTATAGCAAACTTCAGATTTAACCGACACTTTTATTCTGTAACATATACCATCAGGATATTGACAGAAAAATATGTTTTCTGTTTTTCCCCCATTACTTCTTATATTTCTATTTTCTATCCCTGACTCATTGACATTTTTCACAATCATTACAGTCCACTCTATTTGGACTGGGTGATTATAATACTATAACATATAGTTCTAACCAGTATTTATTATTCTGACAAAATTATTTTACATGTAGCTTGACCGCTGATTATATTCCACAATCACAGAAGCACAAGCCACTGAACACTGTCCCTTTCTAGTTTTTTTTTTATAAATGTCATATGGGTGCTGTGACTTTGCATACATACGGCCAGCAAATGAAATATTCAAAACATGACCTTTATAATGAAAGAGTTAATGGATGAAGAAGGAGCATTTGGTACAGAAATTAAACATTTATCGGTTCACATGGAACTTCAATCAAATATACCGTATATACACCAAATTCTGTGTAGATTGTCAATGTAGATGAATATCACCCAGATTGTAGTATGTCAGAGTAAATGCAGTTGTAAATTATTTCAAGACATCTGAAGGAAGAAAGGTGATGTTAAGATGGTTTAGCCGCCGTTAAGTCATCCCATGTGCATCCCTTCAGTCTATTGAGAGTTAAAAATAATTCTTCTGATACACAACCTAGTACATGAGCAGCCAGCTGGTTTTGCAGGGATACAGCATCACATCAACATTCATCCCATGGTTGTTACTTTTACAGCCATTACTCCAGTGAATGCACAGACTATTAGGGACCATCTGCTATTCCATCAAGTAGATGAAACAGACAAAATGTGAAAACCCTCTTTGAGCTAACATATTAAATTAATTTCTATTCCATTTCACTTCTTTTGGTGAAATGGAAAGAGATGGGAATGGATGAGAGGCAGTAGCAGCAAAGAAACAGTCCATCTGTGTTCCTCTTATCTGCTGTAGAGTGTATCCATTTAGAATGCACTCAAGTGCAAATACAGAAAACAGTCAGTACTTCTTGTGCCTGTAGACGGGTTTTACACTTTTCCTTTGGATTTCTGAGAAAGCAGAGGGTTGCCAGCTCAGGATCGCTCAATACCTTCCCACACCTCGAGTTGCTTCTGTGAGCTAGTATCTGTCTCTCTTCTTCTCAAGTATGATCCCTCTCTGTCTCTCTCTTCTTCTCAGTGTGTGCATGTGTGTGTGTGTGTGTGTGTGTATCTGTGTGTATGTACAGCAGCTTTCCATCACTCATTAAACTTCACACCTCGCTTACATCACTGAACACCCAAATCCTCAACCACAGGTGCTGAGAATAAGAGCAAACAATGACAAGGTACTTACTCATGGGTTATCAAATAGCCATTTGATTCAATTTGTCGCAACAGCAGCGAGAATAAAATGAAGCCACTTTGTCGTGGAAGGTTTTAGCAGAGGTTCAAATAATAAAATAGCATCATAATATATTATACCTTTAGTGTGAGCGTTTCTCTTTGCTCTTTGCAGCAGTTGCAGTATTAACTCGGTGATGACTATCCCTTATTGATTTTCTTACTTAATCCCTCTTAATCCTATTGGTACTGTATCTCATTCAGTGTAGTCCAGCTAACACAGTGATTAAGTATACTGGCTTAGTGTCTTCCTCCCCAGGTCGAAGGTCACTTAACATCTTCCATACTCAGGCCGCCATTGTAGTGTGACTGACAGGGCCACATGGAGAGAATGCTGGGGTCCCCGGGTGGCCGAGGTTTAGCCAAGCAAGGCAGGCAATCACCCTGTCCCTGTGGGGATGCGTTGTTTGTAGATAAACACAGCACGTGTGTGTAACTGTGTGTACGTCTGAGTTTGTTTATATGTGCATGTGTGTGTGTGTTGTACTGTAGCTCAGGTCTGGCGGTGTGCCAATGCTCAGGGCTAATGGAGTGCTAATGTCCCTGGTGTGCCCTTGTTTACTGAACAGCTAAATACAGGAGGAGAAGACGAGAGCCTTTGTCTATTTAAGCATGACACAGCCTGCGATTTTGAGTCACTGTTCTCATAACACTTCCTGCATTTCCTCCCTATATGGCACGTTGCCATAAACAGTACTCACAGGCTGTGACTTGCCGTTTGATCCTGAACACCTGCAATTTATTCTATTGATGTTCACATGTTGCTTAAAAGAAAGCATCCATTGTTCCTGACCAAAGCGATTTTTATTGGACAAACTCCATTGAATATGAATGATGTGAGTGTAGATAGAAGACAGTGTGTGGTATCTCTGATGAAACCATCAGCTATTAGTACAGTAGCTAGCAGCTCAAAATGTTTTTGAGATGTGCTGCATGTAGGAGTCAAAAAAGTCTGTAAAATAAATTGAATGAAATAATTTCTCTCTATTCTTTATCTCCCTATCAGTGAGTGAAGGCAAAAACCTGATCCCCATGGACCCCAATGGCCTGTCTGATCCATATGTCAAGCTCAAGCTCGTACCAGACCCCAAAAATGAGACCAAGCAGAAGACCAAAACCATCCGCTCCAACCTCAACCCGAAATGGAATGAGTCCTTTACTTTGTGAGTAAACGTTGTCACCTCTGTCACACCATAGGCTCCACTACACTTTAGAATATTTTACAATGTCACATAATGATTACTGTGAATGTACTTAATTTCAGCAGTACGTTAAAAACTACAGTACTGGCTGTTGATACTGATGATGGTGAAAATTCTTATACTTCTACCACTACTGAAATGGGTACTGCTGCAACTGCTACTCCATCCCAATACACCTCTTTCTCTTGACTTCATCATGTATGAAGTTGTTTACAGTTTCCTTATATGTCTGTTAATTTGTCAGGTGACTTCTACATCACCAAACTAAAACAAAAAAAAAA